GTCTGTTCCACAATCAGCTCCTGGCCTTGTTTTGGCTGGAGATATTGAGCTTTTCCACTGCCTCTTGCCACAGATGTGGTTAATCTGATTCCTGTGTGTTCCTTCTGGTGAAGTCCACGTGTACAGCTGCCATTTGTGTTGTTGAAAATAGGTGTTTGCAATGAACAAGTTACTGGTCTTGCAAAATTCTACCATCCAAGTTCCAGCATTATTTCTGTCACCAAGGCCAAATTTTCCAACTATCGGTGATTCTTCTTTGTATCCTAGAAGGTTGGAAAGTAAATTTCAAAAAAGCTAAAAAACAAAAAGTATGATTCCCCTCCCCCATGTTGTTATTGTTGTTTGCCATCGATTCGGACCCAACTCATATGGCCCTCCTATGTATGTATATGCATACTTAATCGTGGTAAATATATATAACAGAACATTTACTGTTTCTACAACCTTCACATGTATAGTTCAGTGACATTAAATAGGTACATCATGTTGTTCAGCCATCACCACTTCCAAATTTACCACATGGTTTTGACTCTGAAAAACTGTGGTACTTTAAATGAGAGTTAATAAAAATAAACACACATAATCCTGAATACTTTGAGCAGGGAGAAGTCTCTGAAAGCCCAGTGTGGTTATATAAGGCAACTCTCACATTAATAACACATAGATTTAGTAGACGGATAGAGAGATGCAGAACTAAAGATAATTACTAAACAATAGTACAAACCTTTATGAACAGTGGCAGGACCCACAAAGGAAGCTGAAGTTCATAGAAAATGTGTCACACAACATAAATTGTTTTTAAAGGTAATATCTCAAGAAGAATAAGCTTCAAGAAGATTGCCAAATTTTTAAGAGGGATGGAATCATCAGTTCATGTTTTGCAACTGTATGATTCAGAGGGGAGAAATAGTCTTTGAGTTGGAAAAGATATAGTAATATGATGAAAACAGTACAGGCATGGTCATTAAGCAGCTGGTCAGTGAAACACCTGAATAATACATTCAACTCTTCATTTAAATTAATGTCCTCTCTAGTGGCCTGTGGCAGTTCTGCTTGTGAAAGCATAGCTTGATTTTTTTTTTTTTTTTTAAAGAAAGGAGAAAATCTGCATTCTAGAATTTGCAAGCCAGTAGGCTTGTTACTGATCTTTGGCAAATTTCTAGAGCAAATTTTCAGCAGGAGTTCGTGGACATTTATAAAAGAAGGCTCTACTAGAACAATCATGGGAGAAAGAAGGGCTGTTTATGCAAAGGGAGATAACTCAGGGGGCAGGAGTGCATGAAGGGATGCACACAGGGAAGAGGTAACTATCGGGTGGAAGTGGGAGGGGAGCACTTGTGTTGGGGTAAATTGTAGTCAATGTCAGGAGACAGAGTGTATGTCAACTGCTGTAGGGGAAGTGAATTTGCTCTGTAAACTTTTACCCAAATCACAACATAAAAAAAAAGAATGCTCTAATATAAAAATTTAAATGTGTCCACCAAGAGTATATCATGGCAAATTAACTTCATTTTTTCAATAGAACTGTCACTGTAGATGAATTAGACAACTACTATAGACACCTTAATTTTATTTATTTTTTTATTATTGTGGTTTAGGTGCAGATTTACAGAGCAGAGTTTGCTTTACATTCAACATTTCATTACATTTGGTTTCACTTCCCATTTACCATCCCCAACCCTAACCCACTCTCCTCCCCTCCCTTCCCAGTCATCTACACCCCCACACACACCGCAACCCGTCATAGTTATGCACTCCTGTGTGTCCTGCATTTCATCCTTGCGAATGTCGCCCTTCTGGTACCCTGTGGTCGATTGCTCCAAGATTATGTGGGTGCATCACCCTGGGTTGAATGGCGTGTGTGTACGTCTTATTTATTGTTGGGCTGAGAGCCAGCTCCTGGGAGTGAGTTTTATTCCAGGGCCGAAGTGTATCCCCGGGCCATAGTATTGGGGTCCCACCGGACTCCATCTGACCAATAATTCTGGTCATTATTGAGAAAGACCTTAATTTTAGTGAAGCACTTGACAGAGTCTTTGGACATACTTTTACATAAGATAAATTGGTGAAGTATTGTTTGAATTTAAAGTGAGTAGGTAGATTTGTAGTTGTTAGATTTACAGTCAGTTGAAATTCAAAACCAGCATTTGATTACAGATTCATTGTCACCCTTGAGGGAGATGTTCAAAGCATCATAACTAGATCGTCTGTATTTTGTAACATTTTCACCAGTGATAATGAGTATAGGCTTATCTGCTTGTACATTACTCAGAGTTGAATGTGGATAGCAGATAACATACAAAGCAATCAAGAACCTAACACATTAATTGATCTAACACATTTCTATTTCCCCCATCTTTATGTACTTTGATATTTTGTATGTAATATAAATTCATAATTTAGATTGTGTGAGGGGAAAAAAAGTGAATTGTATTTCTTATCTATTATTATTTTTACCAAATTAGTGTAGCAATTGTGTGTGCCCTTTTCTCGTTATAGGATTGCATCTTTAGTAATACAGATTTAATAATCCAAACAAAAAATGGGAAAAAAAAATCTCTACATAAAGAATATTTTTATTTACTCTAGGAATATGAAGCACGAACCGGGAGGACGTGTAAACCACCACCTCAGTCTTCAAGACGTAAAAATGTTGAATTTGAGCCCCTGTCTACCACTGCCCTGATTCTTGAGGATCGACCATCGTAAGTGCTTTAATGTTCATCAGTAATGTTTTTATATTTTAAACTTAAATTTATTTTTGTTTACTATTTCACTTAAAGGAGCCCTGGTGGCAAAGTGATTAAGCGCTTGGCTGCTAACCAAAGGTTGGCAGTGTAAACCCATCAGCCATTCTTTGGGAGAAAGATGTGGCAGTCTGCTTCTGTAAAGATTATAGCTTAGAAACTCTATGGGCAGTTCTACTCTGCCCGACAGGGTCACCGTGCGTCAGAATTGATTCGACAGCAAGGGGTTTTTTATTTTGCTTAAAAGATGATGAGAAACTAGATATAGAAAAGGATGTCTTTTTTAAGAAGTTATTTTAACCCCAGTCATATGTTTTAAAATGCAGGGGAAGATTATATTAATGATGTCCAAGCCTGATGGCATAGTACCTAAGGCACTTGACTGCTAACCAGAAGGTTGGTGGTTCAAACCCACCAGCCACTCCTCAGAAGGAAGATTGGGCAATCTACTTCCATAGAGATACCATCTCAGAAAGCCAAGGAGGGGTTGCTATAAGTCGGGAGACGACTCGACAGCATATAACAACAACATCAAGCCTTATGAAGGATTTTCTAGATGTCTCTATGAGCCAATGTAGGATATACATAATCTTTGTTTCTACTTCAACCCTACTCTGCCCTGTCTGACCTTACAGTAGGGCAATTATCTTTCCTTTCTTGACCACGCATCTTTTTATTTTATTTATTTATT